TTTATATATATATTTATATATATTTATATATATACATATATACATATATATCAGAAGGTCTCCATCTTCTTGGCTTTTTTAAATAAATTTTATTAAAGAGCCTTGATTCACAAAATTACTGATAGCTGCATTTTAGGCATACAATAGATCAACACCAATCCCACACCAGAGTGTCAACTTCCCTCCACCAGTGCTCCCAGATTCCCTCCCCATCCCAGTCCCACTCCACTTCCTCCTGTCAACTTCACAGACACATTACAAAGTTTCAGTGGCTGCTGCTTAGGTCTCATGTTTCAGTTCCGGTGATCTGTGTTTTGGGTGTAGGACTCTCCCCCTCACTCATACCTCTAGTATAACTGAAGTCCTGGTGTCTATTGGTTCATTACTTCTTGTTCTCTTCTTCCCCCTTGATTTGTTTTCTTCTCAATCTCCTCTCTGAAACTGGGGGAGGATGATCTAGGCATCCTCTCAGCTTTTAAGCTCATGTGCTTACAACTCAAAGAAATAAAAGGAGTTCCAGGAATGTTGTGTTTACTAAAAGTTTGACGGACAGCAATACTTAATAATCATGATGTGCACTGACACCCCTCCCCCAAGAATTCCTTTCTAATACCAGCTCCATGAAGGCAAGATGCTTGTCCGTGAGGGAGAGAGCTCAAAGGGCTAGGGTTCATATTTTAAATGTGAGTTCAAGTACAAGAATGATATGATCCCCAAGCAGCATCAGGAGCATCCCCCAAAAAGCACCCCTAAATAAATATATAAATGCAAGTATTAAAGTCAATATAACTAAATATAAATAAAACTAACAGGGCTGACCAGAGAGATAGCACAGGGGTTAAGGAACTTGCCTTATAAGCAGCTGACCAGGGATTCAATCCTCAGCACCGCATAGGGTACTTCTAGCCCTGCTAATAATGATCCCTGAGCACATAAAACCAGAAGTAAGCCTTGAGCCCAATCGTTGTGGCTCCAAAATCAGTCAATCAAAACTAAATAAGACCAATAACTGATTTGTTCCATTTGCCGCTAGACTCTCATTCCTAGATTCCCAGGCAGAATGATACAGAGCAAGCACTGAATAAAAACAGTTTTATGCTTTTCCCCCCTCTCACTCTTCCTCTTTCTTTCTGTTTATTGGTTTTTGGCCCACACCCAAAGGAGCTCAGGGCTTAGTCCTGGTTTTATGCTCAGAGATCACTCCTGGCAGTACTTGAGAAACCATATGCAGTGCTGGGATTTGAACTACGGTCAGTTACATTCAAGGCAAGTACCCTGAAACTCAGCTATGAGTAACTGTGTAAACCATAGTAACTTAATGAAAAATTTAACTAGAAACAGAACTACGTTATGACCCAGTGGTTCTGCTTCTTGATCCATCCTAAGAACCCAAAAACCAAAAACACATAAAGAAAATTTTAATGTGTATGTACATTGCTGCATGTATACACAGAGACAACAGAATACTACTCAAATATAACAAATTGTGGGTTTTGGCTACAACTTGGCTAAATGTTGTGTTAAGCAAAATAAATAAAATGAAGAATATAATCACTCAAATATGGTATGTAAAGAAAAAAAGAAAAAGAAAGGGATTGGACAATGGCTAATGAAAACCAACTGTAGCAATAAAAATAAGGTCACAACTTGGGAAGTGTAGATGGTAGGGAGGGAGGAGAGCATAATGGTAAAACATTTTCGCACTGGTGGCATTAGTAAAGAATGAACACCAAAAACAAACATTAATTTTATTGTATACCATACTACCTCTGTAACAACTTATTTTCTGGGGAGGGCGGACCCCACAGTGCTCAGGGCTTACTTCTGGTTCTGGATCACTTCTGGTGATATTTGGAAGACCAGGTGTAGTGCTAGGGATTGAACCTGGGTTGGCAACATGCAAAAGCAAATATCAATCCCTATACAATCTCTCCAATCTAATACGTTGATTTTTTTATGTGTAAAAGAACTCTATATTTTATATTGTTAACAGATATAGCCTTTTTTGGAATTCAGTTTGGAGGCTTTAAGTGCTAAAAATAGGTTAACCAAATAATCCCAAAACTCTACCCCAAGATATCTATCCAAGTAATATAAATATACTAACTCAAAAAGATATGCACAGCTATGTTCACTGCAAGGTTTATAATAACCAAGCTCTGGAAACAGCCAAGTGCCCCCAGCAATAGAGATGGGAGCTAGTAACCTGACTGCCGGCAGGATGTGGTCTCATTCTAGTTTCCACTGCTTAGCTGACACACTACAGTAAATTTCGGAATGTTGTTTTTGCACCTACCAATACCAGTAGAACCCTAGATGGCATCTGGAGGCCACCACACACTGACATTTTCTTCCCCTCACCCGACCCACCCTTCATTATATCAAATGATAAAATCAACATGGATAATAACACATCTACCCACAGCTTGGCAATCCCTTTGATCTAGAGTATCAAAAAAAGGGATGGGACCCTGGTTCTTGGGAGGAATCCCCTCCTACTTCTCAGAAGAAGCAGACTACACCCCCCACTCTCTCCCATACAGTCTAACAGATCACAAAAGACTTAACGATACTGTCCTCAAAGACAGCCTGGCTGGTGTCCCTTCACTGACTCCCTTTTGCTCAAGTGAAGTCCCATTCAGTAATATCTGGCTCTTGTGTCATATGTTACGTTAGGGTGCCTCTTTGGGATTCTGTCTTTTTCTTGCTGTTGTTGGTTTAAATTTTTTTAACTGAATCCCTGTGAGATACACACTTATAAAATTCATGATTGGGTTCCAGTCATACAATGTTCCAACACCCATTCCTTCACCAGTGTACATTTCCCACCACCAATGTCCCCAGTTTTTTTCCAATTCCCCTTCCTCAGCCTACCTCTATGGCAGGCACTTTTCTTCTTTGTCTCTCTGTTTCTCTCTCTCACTCTTTTGCTCTCTCTTTCCTTTCGGACATTATGGTTTGCAATACAGGTACTGAAAGATTATCAAGTAATACCTATGTAGCGGGTAGGGCATTTGCTTTGCACGCGGCTGACTAGGCCGATATGTTTTCAATTCCTCCACCCCTCTCGGAGAGCCCGGCAAGCTATCGAGAGTATCTCGCCCTCACAGCAAAGTCTGCAAGCTACCCATGATGTATTCGATATGCCAAACACAGTAACAACAAGTCTCAAAGTGGAGACGTTACTGGGCCTGCTCGAGAAAATCGATGAACAACGGGAGGACAGTGACAGTGACTGCCAGCATGATAAATAATGTGCATAAAACCCCTTAATTTATAGGTGTGTGGTTTTAAGGGTAAATTAGAATTTTTTTTGTGAAACTATTATAAAGATCTACTGTATAGATCTTCCTAAAGTTATGGTGAGCTTACAAACAAGTAATCCCTTGGTAAGTTGAAAATATCTTAAGCACAAAATGATGGGAGTTTTTTTTTGGGGGGGAGGCGGGGCTGCGTGAGATAGTAGGGGGAGATGCTCACCCAGTGGTCCTGAGGGCTCACTGCTGGCTCTGTACACAGGGATCATCCTGGTAAGCTCCAAGAACCAATGGGGTGCCATGGATCCAAGCCAGGTTGGCTGTGTGCAAGGCAAGCACCCTACCAGCTGTATTATCTCTCAAACCCCATGTTTCAAAAAGCTTTTGATATACCTAATTACTGAATGTCACAGCTTAGTATAGTCTTTCTTAAACATGCTCTGAGCACTTATGGTGGCAACACAATATTGACTACCTACCTGAGCACTGGCTATCTTCTTGAGTATGTTTGAGTACTGTATGTCTACCTGGCTATTTATCTACCTGAGTACTAATCACCTATCTGAGCACTGGTTGTCTTGCTGAGTATTAATACCTACCTCAGTATCAGCCATCTTTCTGAGTACTAAGTGTCTATCTCAGTATTGTATACTTGAGTACTGGTTGTCTATATCAGTACTGGCAGTCTTCCTACTAACAATCCACTTGAGCATTTGCTGTCTATTCTTGTGAGTGTATGACTGTGAGTTGTGGCTTGTTTCCACAATCCAGTATCCCCAGCATAATGTACAATACAAATACTGCTAGCCAAGGGAAAGATCAAAATTCAAAGTATTATTTCTATCCAATACATATAACTTTCACAGTATCATAAAACTGAAAACTCCTAAAGCATAAACACCATAAATTTAGGACCATATAACTCAATAAATGGTAAGACGCCTCCTGCTGTTTCCCTGGACAGGTCATTACCAGAGACAGTATATGTAACACATCTATGAAAATAAGCGGTCAATAAATGCTAATTATCTCTATACTAAAGACTTGATAATCACATTTATCTTTTACTGTAAGCTGTTTTTTCATTATAAAAAAATTTAAAGAATGCTGACTAACTGCAGATCATTTTTATCCTTATTTCCCAAGAACTAATAAGAAGCCATTAGTAGGAAGAAAACACGCACATATGGGGGAAAAGGCAGTTGGGATGGAGAAGAGACCACTAAGTCAATGATGGTTGGAGGGATTGCTCGAATGGGAGACGTGCTGAAAGCAGACTAAGGACCAAACACAACGGCCTCTCAGTACCTGTATTGTAAACCATAATGCCCCAAAGTAGAGAGAGAGTAAGAAGGAAGGTGCTTGCCACAGAGGCAGGGGGTGAGGTGGGGGTGGCGGGAGGGATACTGGGAACATAGGTGGTGGAAAATGCGCACTGGTGGAGGGATGAGTGTTCGATCGTTGTATGACTGAACAGTGTATTATATGACTCAATCATGAAAGCGTTGTAACAATATCTCACAGTGATTCAATTAAAAAATGTTTTAAAAAGAAACATACAAATATGGCTGAAGATGTAAAATCAGTCAGACAATTTCTAACATTTGCCTACTGTGAAACTTCAACACACATTTGAAGAAACTGAAGCATTTCAGGGAGAAGGTGATCACTCCCGACTCACAGCAAAAATACCCGAGTAGAGCTATTCATTAGCATACAGTAGAATCAAAATGTTAGACTCACAGTATTTGGAACATAGGGTAAGCCATAAAACTTTTCCTGCGTTTCCTTGAGAATGTCTGTTGTTGACTTCTTCAGAGGATGCTTCCCATGGTAGATCTGATCCAAAGTGGCATAAAAGACCTAGGCAGAAAAAAACATCTTTTTAATCTTGGTAGCCCACCCTTACACCTAGATATTAGATGTTTACTAGAATAATAGTAACTACAAGTCACAGTTGAAAACATTCAGAAGTATTCTGAGACATTTGGGGCTGTATATCAAATTCCATGTTAATTATGAAAAGGCAAGCTCTCAACCTTTTCATGAGTGAGGATATTAGGAATGTTAAATCTTACCTCTAATGTATTGCATTTGTGCACATGGGCATGTATGTATGGTGTGCTGGCATCAAAGCCAAAGACCTCACACATGTGCTGGTTACTAAGCCACACCCCTCCCTATCAGATACTCTTTATGTAAAAAGTGCAAATTAAATTCGTGCCTTCAAAAAAGTAATTCTACTTACTGTGTATGTATATATCTATATATAGAAATATGTGTACATACAGCATATATACACACATAGTGAGTTCTACTTAACATCAGTAACTTCTTGGAAACTGTTACTTTAATTAGGGTGATTAACAGTGAAACCAATTTTACCAAGGCTGTCACTGTCACTGTCCTCCGTTGCGCATCGCTTTGCTCGAGCAGGCCCAGTAACATCTCCATTGTGACACTTGCTACTGTGTTTGGCATATTGAATACATCACGGGGAGCTCGCCAGGCTTTGCCATGCGGGCAAGATACTCTCGGTAGCTTGCCGGGCTCTCCGAGAGGGGCGGAGGAATCAAACCTGGGTCAGCCAGGTCGGCCGCGTGCAAGGTAAATGCCCTTCTGTGCTATTGCTCCAACCTACCATAGGCTAACTGATATAAATAAGAACTAATTTTTTATGGTACATCTCTGGCCACAGAAACATCATAACTTTTAAATAATAACTCAAACCACATCTTATATTAAAACATTTAGTATTCATGTGCCAGCCCTCTTATCGTCACTATCACTATCCTCCCGTTGTTCATCAATGTGCTTGAGTGGGTTGGTAATGTCTCCATTGTGAGACTTGTTGTGACTGTGTTTGGCACATTGAATACATCACGGTAGCTTGCCAGGCTTTTCCTTGCGGGTAAGATACTCTCGGTAGCTTGCTGGCTCCTCGAGAGGGGCGGAGGAATCGAACCTGGATCAGCCGGGTCGGCTGCGTGCAAGGCAAATGCCCTACCCACTGTGCTATCACTCCAACCACAGCCCTCTTATTACAGTATAGTATAACAAATCAGCAAATGGCTCTGAACCCAAGGCAAGACAGGAGCTGAGCAGGAAGTCCTGCCATGGCCAGAAGCATACCAGAGGGCTATTTCTACGTACCAACGAACCTGGCATGCACAGATCACACCAGAGGACCTGGAGAAAACCCTCAGAGAAATAAGAAGAACAAGCACACTCCAGGAATCCTTGATTCCACCAGGAACTGACTGATCTTTTTACTCCTCCACATCATCATGAAACCGCATTATTAAAGATGGATACACACACATACACAGAGAGCTATACTTTTTAAAATATGAACAAGTATATTACACCTGTGACTCTCTGAATCTAAGCAACCCTGTTTGGTTTCCTTCAAGAATGCTGATATGTCTTAAGTGAGAGAAATTAAATGGGCATTGGCTAGCTTTGACAAGAGGTGGAAGCATTCTCAGGTGAGTGAGATGGAGGAAAGCACCCATCCCTCGGTCCCTGAGCACAGACATTACAAAGACTTCTGGGGTACTGCTGGGATGTCTGAATTAAGGGCAAGTCAGCTCCAATGCCTGGTTTCAGGGAAAACACCAGTAGTGTCTCCAGGAGGTGGGGAAAGAAAAGCTCACTCCCCTCTGGTGAGAGCCACTGGCCAGCAAAATGTAGCTGGTGATAAAAGCATTCGAAAAGTTTATACTCAAAATCAGCTGCTCACAAAATTCCGCAAGCTAAACTGGACATAGAAAACCTAAAGTAAAGCTAAAACCTGCTTTTGCGTTGCACCAATGCCTAACTTGACCTTTAACACTGGACAAGTCATCTGAAGTAAGACAGTGGAAAATGTTTTATGTTAAGGAAAATTAAATTCTGCATCACTTGATCACTTGACATCCCGTTACTCATCGATTTGCTCTAGCGGGCACCAGTAACGTCTCCATTCATCCCTGTCGCATGCTAGTGTAGCCCAATGGTGTCTGCTCATTCTAGGAACACAAAGAGCCTCAAACCGATCATTCAGGGTCTTCACAAAGAAGTCTGACCATCTCATAGATGGGCAGCCACGTGATCTTTTGACATCCCCTGGAATCCAGTCGGTAACAGCTCTAGTCCAGCAGTCATCTCTAAATCTCATTACTTGTCCAGCCCATCTGATTTTCGATGCCTTGGCAAACGAGATAGCGTCCCTGATTCTTGATCGTTGACGGAGGTCGGAACTCCATATTCTTTCTCTCAAATACCACTAAATACCATTTCTTGCAGGTTTGCAGCACCATATTTGATAGGGTTCAAATATGGTTTGAACCATGGGGACACCTGCAAGGACGATTAGAGGCCACCCTAAAAGCCTCTATCCCTCTCAGAGAGCATGACAAGGTACCGAAAGTATACCGCCCACATGGCAGAGCCTGGCAAGCTATCCGTGGCGTATTCAATATGCCAAAACCAGTAATTACAATGGGTCTCATTCCCCTGACCCTGAAAGAGCTACCAGTAAATTCTGCATGTTAAAAAAAAACATGCAATTATGTTTTCAGTCTGTATCGTTCTTATTCAAAATGGAATTTGTAGAGCATGTGCAGCTGTTGACTTGAAAGAAAGATGAGGATTATCTTAGATAAAAGAAGATTGCTCCATGGTTGGCAGCCTGCCTCATAAGCTAGAGGAGAAGGCAGCTGAAATGGAGAAGGGATCACTAAGTAAATGATGGTTGGAGGAATCGCTCGGGATGGAAAATGTGTGCTGAAACACGATGGCCTCTCAGTATCTGTATTGCAAACCATAATGCCCAAAAGTAGAAAGAAAGTAAGAGCGAAATTGTCTGCCAAGCAGGGAGTAGGGTAAGATGGTGGCGGGGGCATATTGGGGACATTGTTGGTGGAAAACGTACATATGGTGGAGGGATGGGTGGTCAATCATTGTATGACTGAAACTCACACATGAAAGCTTTGTAACTATCTCACAGTGAGTTAATTAAAAAATTAATTAATTTTAAAGAATAGAAATGTAAATGACCCCTTACCTTTTGGTTTCATCTAAATACAGAATTATGGTTCTATATTATACAGCAAAATTTAAACCTTCCCTAGAAAAATACAGGCATTTATTAAATATAAATATTGCTTTACTCCAACTGGTAATCTAAAGATACAGCTAAATACAGTTCCACTCATTCTACCTTCTATTATGAGTAACAATGTATAAAGAGAATCAGAGGGCCCTACCATTACTCATCTTGTCTATATTTTAACAAGAGTCAAGAATTAGGATTTGAAGCTCAAATTCTAACCTCAATAGAGGTGTTTTTCTGGTCCTAATCTATGAAACAAATAGAATTAAAGTGGTTTATTGCTTCCAATATGCCTTTTACAAATGGAAGGCATAAATATGGACTTTAATTTTAATTAAAAATTAACAAAACAGAGCCAAACAAACTGAATATGCATTTATTTCCTACTCATTTTCTGATAAACCAAACAATTCTAAAACTATGAGCCCATTTCCTTGCCTGGGAAATAAGGTATAGATGAGAGAGTGAAACCAAGAAACCTGCTGGAAAGACACTCCCCACCCCCAAAATAACAATGATGAAAAGACTGTTTACACTGGGGCTGAAAAGATAGTAACACTTGCCTCACATGCAGTTGGCAATTTTGGCACCTCTTATGGTCCCCGAGACTTGTCAAGGGTGACTTGAGCACAGGACCAGGAATAAGCCCTGAGCACCACTGAGTGAGGCCCAACTACCAGGAGTACATCCTGAGCTCTACCAGGTGGGGCCTCCAAATCAGTCAAACAAACAAACAGACTGTTTACACCCTCCAAGAAATAAGAAACCATTTCCTCTCCCCTTTATGTGTTCCGAGTTCACCCGCATCGTGTGTGAGCCGCTGAGCCAGCAGCTCTGCACAGGGCTTCCAGTCCCTTTCCTGCTTTCCCTCTCCAGCCTCTGTCTCTCAACCTCCCTCCCTTACATCCTCCTCACCCTCCACCACGTGCCTCCTTTTACTCTTTTTTAGAGAAGGAAAGAAGTGGAAAGTTCACAACTGGTTTTCACTCTGAGGGGACTCTGAGGGGCCCGGGGCCTGAGAGAGCCCAGGGACTGGCCCCGACCCTCACCCCGACACCTGAAAAGGGGATGATCAAAACTACTGTTCAGAAAGAAAGCTAGAGAGCAAAGCTCTTTGGAAAGGTGCGTTTCGGGGCTGGAGTGATAGTACGGATAGTACAGCGGGTAGGGCGTTTGCCTTGCATGCAGCCGACCCGGGTTCAATCCCCAGCATCCCATATGGTCTCCTGGGCACCGCTAGGAGAAATTCCTGAGTGCAGAGCCAGGAGTAACCCCCGAGCATAGATGGGTGTGACCCAAAAATCAAAAATAAATAAAAGTACAGCCATACCACCCTGAACGTGCCTGATCTCGTCTGATCTCAGAAACTAAGCAGGGTCAGACCTGGTCAGTATTTGGATGGGAAAAGGTACATTTCTGGGCAGGGGAAGAGAGTACAGAGAGAGGGGATGCCAGCTTGGGAGGCTGGAGCCCCAGATTCAGTCTCCAGGATCACAAGTTCCCAGAGCACTGAGCACATGGTTCTCCAAGAATAAGGCCAGAAGCAATCCAGCATCACGGACTGCTGCCCAAAAACCAAAATAGATGAGCAAATAAATAAATAAGTAGGACTTCAACTACAGTTATAGCTATTTAAAGAGTCAAAGGAATTTTGCCAAATAGTATTAATTCTTCAAATAAATCAAAATCCTTTTGATTCATGCTGATATAAAGACTGAATAAACACAAACATTGGGCTGGAGCAATAGCACAGCGGGTAGGGCGTCTGCCTTGCACGCAGCCAACATGGCCAACCCAAGTTCGATTCCTCCGCCCCTCTCGGAGAGCCCGGCAAGCTACCGAGAGTATTCGATATGCCAGACACAGTAACAACAAAGTCTCCAATGGAGACGTTACTGGGCCCGCTCGAGCAAATCGACGATCAACGGGAGGAAAAAAAAAAAAAAAAACACAAACATGTAAATTCATGACCGTGTCAACCGGATGCACTGTTTTCAATAACACTGTTATTTTAATGTACTACACACCCAGAGTTTATTCATCGTTTGTCAGGACTGAATTATACGAAATCATAAAGCAATATAATAGTAGTTATTTAATTCAGTACTGTAATAGACAAGTACCTTAAAACTTTCTGAATCTTTTTCAACTATTTCCACCCCATATTCTATTGTGGAAGTTGCAAGGCAATTTTTCTTCACTATGCCAGAAATTGGCCAAAATAACTGAAGAGTTCTTTAAGTCCAAATTTCTTCTACATCTAGAAAAAAGTGTATTTGTGGGACTAGAGCAATAGCAGAGCGGGTAGGGCATTTGCCTTGCATGTGGCTGACCTGGGTTCGATCCCCAGCATCCCATATGGTCCCCCGAGCACCGCCAGGAGTAATTCCTGAGTGCATGAGCCAGGAGTAAACCCTGTACATAGCCAAAAAACAAAGAAGTTTATTTGTAATTAATAGATGGGGGTGAGAAATGGGGATAGGAAGAGGGGTGTGTGTGTCTGTGTGTCTATGTGTGTTAGCAGTTATATTCTAAAAACAGGTAACAATCATTATAATAACTGATGATAACAGGAGGGTGTGTATGTGTATAGCTATACTAAATGTGTAACTGAATCATAATGTAGTAACTATTACTGGTGAGTGTGTGTGTATGTTAGTAGTTATACTTTTAAAACAGATAACTGAATCACTATACAGTAACTATTACCAAAGGGGTGTGCGTGTGTGTGTGTGTGTGTGTGTGTGTGTGTGCAGCAATACTTTTAAAACAAGTAACTGAATCATTATAAAGTGGATATTACCCAAATAATGGATGGATAAATTTAGAATTTGTTTATATAACTCTCAAGACCTGATGTTGAGTAAGATCCCATTAATAATGTCAGTAATTACAAATAAACTAAACATCTGGTGTCATGCAGACCTGACCCATAATTTTTCTATTCTTAATATGGAAACCTGGAAAACTGGTTTTGGATGTGTCTAAAACAAATAAGTCATTTGTGGTTTAAACTGTGCATCTAAAACCACAGTTAGAAAAAAAGATACAAAGTGAATAAAAATATATAAAACTCAGTGGCTGCAATGCAGGATCAAAAAGCAGACTGTAATTTTTCTAAAATTTTTATTTTCCCAGCTGAAAAAGGGAAGTAACCTTATTTAACAACTACTTTACAGAATAGTGTGAAGACTACATGAGCCTATTTTGGGCACGTTCTTTGAACTCGAAAGATGTTTTGAGACACATAACTATTATAATCCATGAATGTGTCACAATGGCCAGAATCTAAAGCTCAACATTTATTTTGAATGATTATTCTGAAACACTTGAAAACAAAGAAACAGGCATACCTGGAGCTGCATGTCAGCTGCTGCGCATACTTTTTTAGATTCACAGAGTCGAGACACCATACTTTTAGGCAGTGACTAAAGAAAAAAAAAGAGTAAACTGTTTATAGCTCAATGTACAATGTATTACATGCTAAGGAGGCAGGCGTGTAAAATAATACAAATTAAAACTTTCTGAATAAAAACAACAGTATTTCATTATGGCTTAAAGATATTTACAATGTTTTGATTGACAAGGTAACAAAGAGGAAGACATTCCATTTAATTTCAAGAAGTAGTAACTGTAAAAAGAAAATACAGTACAGCAGAGAGAACTTATCAACACGGATATTTAATAACCACTTAAAGCTATAAAGCACTCACAGACCTCAGCTCAAAATAATGGGAAGAGATGAACAGATACTTCCACAAAGAAGACATACAATTGAACAATAGTCATATAAAAAAGTACTTATTATCAATCAGTATCAAAGAAGCACAAAGCAAAACAATGATGAGCTACTTCTTCCCACCAGTAATAATGGCTCATATAAAACACCTGAAAGCAAGTATTGGCGGGGTGTAGCTAAAAGGAACCTTCGTTCACTGCAGGTGAGAATGTTGTCACGTCCAGTCTCTACAGAAAACAGTACGGAATTTCTCAAAAACAAAATGAAGAGTGGGGCTCCCATTTGACCGAAGTATCCCCCTTCGAGGCATCTACCCCAAACATAAAAACATTAATTTGAAAAGGTATGTGCACACTCTATTCACAGCAGCACTGAGTCCTAGAACAGGATATGGAAGGAACCCCAATGTCTAACTAGATCAATGGGGAAAGCAGTTGTACATATACACAATGGAACATATAACAGCCATGAGGAAAAAAGAAAGTCATGCAGTTCCTGGCAATTTGGATGGAATTGAAGGGCATCACGCTGTGAGGAATAAGGCAGAAGGACAAGTACAGAATTCTACTCGGCAGGGGAAACAGAACAAGTGTGTGAGCAACAGCCATCAGTAAGAGACCTTGGACACCGGTGGGCAGGGTGTGTGGGAGCACTATGATTTGGTGGCAAGGATGGGCAGTGCCTTTGTAGCTCAGTACCAGAAATTTGACTACTGTAACCTTATAATCTAGAATGTTTAGACATTCGCAGTGGTCACTGTTCTGATGGTTTGTTCATATGCGTGCCTACTCCGCTTCCTTTGCTTCAACCATGTCTGGCAAGCCCAATATGGCTGAGACTGAAAAATTCCTGAAGAAGAGAGAAATGCAGGAGGAAAACACCTGCTGCCTTCTAAAGAAACAACTGAGCAAAAGAAGCAAACAGCAGTATCACAGACTGAACACTAACATGCACTATACATTCCACAAGCACTTCTTTCTTATTTTACCCTTTTTAGCTATTTAACTGTTAAGCTGCAACGAGGCTAGGTCAAGTTTAAAGGTGAATGACTGTGCAGCCCCTCCCTTTCCACACTTAACGTTCTGAGAACTACTGACAATGAGGAGCCTTGCCTCCACCATCTTGTATGTCAGGGGAAGGAATAAGTGGGGTGGGACTTGATGGGGTTAACACATGCTTTGTTCGAAGTATGTCCTGCAGGCTGCAAATAAACAGTTTGATCTGAGGGCCATATTTTTGTTGTTATTGTTGAATGGTTTGATTATATTGGAATGGAGAATTTAAAATATGCGAATAAAGTTTTAAAACCTGAAAAAAAATGTTTAATAAAATACAATTAAATTAAAATCTACTAACAGTCTGGGAGACAGTAAAGAGTTTAAGGCACTGGCTTTGCACAATGCTGGTCAGGGTTATATTCCCTTCACCATATATGATCCCAAAGACTGCCAGTAGTGATCCCTGAATGCAGAACCAGGAGTAAGCCCTGAGCATCACCAGGTATGACTCCAAAACAACTTTTTTTTCTTTTTGGGTGACACCCGACGATGCTCAGGGGTTACACCTGGCTCTGCAATCAGGAATTACTCCTGATTGATGCTCAGGGGAACTTATGGGATTCTGGGAATTGTATCCGGGTTGGCCGCGTGCAAGGCAAACACCCTACCCACTGTGCTATAGCTCCAGCCCTGCAAACAAACTTTTAAAAAAGTTTTTTTTTAACTACTTAAAGTTAATTTGTCTGTTACTTTGTTACCTGATTCAAGTGTCCTATTGCTCATGAAGTCCATATCACAACTAATGGAAGAAATAAGAGATTAAAATGCCAGGAAATCATTTATAATTTGTGGCATCAGTCAGTAATAAAGCTGAAATGATCACTTAATCACTTAATCACTTAACTTCCCGTTAGTCATCGATTTGCTCGAGCGGGCGCCAGTAACGTCTCCATTTGTCCCTGTCGCGTGCTAGTGTAGCCCAATGGCATCTGTTCGCTCTCGGAACATGAAGAGCCTCAAACCGATCGTTCATGATCTTGACGAAGAAGTCTGACCATCTGGTAGGTGGGTGGCCACGCGGTCTTTTGACATCCCGTGGAATCCAGTCAGTAACAGCTCTAGTCCAGCGGTCGTCTTTAAATCTCATTACGTGACCAGCCCAACTGATTTTTGACACCTTGGCAAACGAGACAGCGTCCCTGATTCTTGATCACTGACCGAGGTCGGAACTCCGGATTCTTTCTCTCATTTGAGTGAAATGTGATATTTCAAGAATAGCTCTTTCTATTCTTCTTTGGGAGACCTGAATAGCGTTCTCATCCTGTTTGCGTAGGGCCCAGGTCTCTGAGGCATATGTTAATGCAGGAAGAACAGTGGAATCAAAGAGATGTGCCCGGAGCCGGAGGTTCTTCGTCCTCTTAGCTATTTCTTCGACGTTCTTGAAGGCGTTCCAAGCCGCTCTCTTCCTCCTGCGCAGCTCGGGTGCCAGGTCATTTGTCATGTTGACTTCTCGACCTAAGTACACATAGCTGTTGCATTCGGAGATGGTCGTTCCGTTGAGAGCGAATGGGGCATCAGGAACGAGGCTGTTTCTCATAAACATTGTCTTTGTAAGATTCGCTGTAGTCCTACCTTTCCACACTCACAGTCAAAGCCGGCCAGCATTTGTGCCGCTTGGCTGATGTTTGGTGTTATTAAAACAATGTCATCAGCAAAGCGGAGGTGATGTAGTTGCCGACCATCTATCTTCACTCCCATTCCTTCCCATTCCAGTCGTCGCATGATGTTCTCGAGGGTGGCACTGAAGAGTTTCGGTAAAATGGTATCACCCTGCCGAACCCCTCTCTTGATATCAATGATCACTTCTTTGTAGAATGGTGAGATCCTGGTAGTGAATCCGCAATACAGCTCACGGAGGATCTTGATGTATTGGGCTTGAATGCCCTGATTGGCTAGGGCTTCAATGACCACTTCCGTCTCAACAGAATCAAAGGCCTTCTTTAAATCAATGAACATTAAACAGAGCGGCATCTTGAACTCCCAAGAAACCTCAATAAGCTTGGTTATCGTGTGGATATGGTCGATGGTGCTGAATCCTTTGCGGAACCCGGCTTGCTCGCATGGTTGTCCTTCATCTAGTGTTCTGCTAATCCTACTTAGGATGACTCGAGTGAACAACTTGTAGATGACAGACAATAGGCAGATCGGGCGATAGTTGCCAATGTCATGGATGTCTCCCTTCTTGAACAGTAGTACGGTCCTGCTGGTTTTCCATTGGGACGGAACCTTGCATTCAGACAGGTAGCGAGTGAAGAGCCGAGCCAGTGTATTGATGAGTACTGATGGCAGGTTCTTCAGGTGTTCAGGTCTGACCTTGTCTGGGCCGGGTGCTGTTTGTTTCTTTACCGACGAAATGGCGTGTTGGATTTCGGAAGGGAGAATGTTGGGAACGACATATCCATCCTGTGGAATTTGGTATGTCGGCAAGTGGACATGGCTATCGAAAGGATTTGAGTAGAAGTCATGGATAATCATTTATAATTTGTGGCATCAGTCAGTAATAAAGCTGAAATGATATCCCACCAAAAACCCAAGGCTATAAATTGTGTATTGTTTTATATTCTATCCTGCAAGAACTGGATGAACACTCAGTATAATGTCCCTTATAAGTTTTGTCTCTGAGAATAGTTAGATCTAATTGTAGAACATTACATATTTTCTTAGAAACAAATCATTTTGGGGGGGAAATACTTGATTTTTGCTCTATGTGAAATACTTAGTAACAAGGTTTCGTCAGCAAAGCTACTACCTTTTACAGCTGCTTTTACCATTTACTCTTAAAAGCTCCTTCTGACAGCACCACACAAGAGACAAAAAACAACAGGTCTGAGTCATTAGGGAATGACAATGGGCTCTGTTTGCTGGCCTGGAAACTACTGGACACACATCAGCTCTTCCTGCGCCTAAGAGCAATGTCCAGCCCAGGGCAGACAAGAATGAAGCAAACCATGAGCAGAGGCTTGTGCTGTGCCGGGAAGGGCTCAGACCTCTGCCACTCTCCTACTTGGTTGTAAGGGAAATCAGCTGGCAGCTAAGGGACTTTTGAGAGCTAAGAGGTGGGCTCAGGAAGGAGCCTGATGACACTTTGGGACTGCTGAGAGGCCAGGGCATCCCTACACCAGGACTCCAAGCTGGAGCACACATCTATAACAAAAATCAATAATCAATCTCTCTCTCTTTCTCTCTCACTCTCTCTCTCTTCTCTCCCTCTCTCCTCTCTTTTCTCTCTCTCTCTTTCTCTCTCTTCCACTCTCTCTCTCCTTTTTCTCCTCTTTCCCTGTCTCTGTCTCTCCCCCACTCCCCCTCCACCCCTGTCTCTTTAACTGTATGGAAATGCTCAGGTTTCTAGAATTTTGACTTCAGCTTACAACATACATTGGCAAGACTCAGGCTATATATATTTGAGTCGGTTTTTATCAACCCTTCACGAAAAGTTTAATGGAGGCATACCTTGGCAATATTATATGACCCATTCTATATAAGTTACACTTACTCTTTACTAAGTCTATTGTGTAGTAGTAATAATAATAATAACAATTTCCCAAAAATTGCATGTATGCCTTAATTAAAATATGCTTTGGTGCTAAGAAAAAAAGAAAGCAAACAAACAAACAAAAACCTGCTGTCACAA